CAATGAATATTTGATTTTCATCTTTATGAGAGACAGAGAGCGATCAACCGATAGTGGTCCGAAAGAATAAAACTTTTGTTTACATGATTTTTGCAAGTGCATTTCAAAATATTATCAGTTCAGTGATTCCTAAGAACCTACCTGTTAGATTCTGGTCAGTTCTGCCCTTTCGCATGCAATTTCGTCAGTCTGTCCGAATAGCTTTTGAGCACAATAAACATATCACTATTAATTGTTGATAACGGACAGGTGAAGAGTTATCTCGGTTATTTGATTTCAGTGTCTGGCATTGCTCACTCGATTGCATCCGAAAGTGTCGATTGGAGTTTCTCTTCTGATTTTTCTTCTGTGACTTTGTCATGAACTTTCCTAACCTGGTTGGTATGTCGCACAACTGTTACGTTACTCAACCTTGGAATCAAACAGACTAGGCAAAGACAACTTCCCGCAGAACTGAATACAATCGGGTGCACCTCACTCTGGTGAAGATCTTTATATCGCTTGCGAATGTAACAATTAAGGCAATCAACAGGTCATTGTTACTCTGAAAGAAGCACTGTGAACGTTAGAAATGTTCAGGTAAATGAGGAGATTGAGATTCTCAGTTTACCCAAGTCTAATTATGAGTTTCACTACTGTAGATACAACCAGTAGTTAGAAACTACAGATCATTAGCATAGATTTCTTCGTAGGTTTGATGCACAAGCGCATACACACACGGTCTAGCTTTGATTTGTGTATGCACATGTGCGTCACCCGATGGCTACAACATAGATATTCCGAGCACTGCCCACTGAACGTGGTTGACGAAATCAATCAGTTCATTTCTTCCTGTTCGCCGAGCTTGACAATTTGTTTGAAAGTGTGTTATCACCAACCGAAGTGATAAATTCAATACTTACGAAGTGGTAGTGTTCTGCTTGCATGCGTCCGCTTATATATATTCCCCTTCAACTATTCTTGTCCCTCGATCGCACTGTGTTTGTTCTGGTTTGTCATTGAACTAGCTCGAAGAAAACGGGCTCGTAAGTGATTTTAACGTGCAGGCTGGAAAACTGAGCGCATGCAAAGGCTGTCTACGAAGGTGAACCGCTTTTCACACCCAGCGAACAGACAAAGACTAATTCAGCTCTGTGCCGATCACCGGCCGTTATTACCTAGCACCAACTTTCGACACAGCTCTCGTCGGATGACATGATGTTTCCGGTTCAACGGGTAACACTACCCAAATGGACTGCATAGATGCAAGTTATTGTTGGTGTGGTTCAGAACAAAACTGCAGATCCTATAGAACTACCCGCGTCGAGTCGATCACGCACTAGTTCTGATGCACTTTATGCTTTGATCCATTAGTAATGAGTAAAAATCGACTCATTAGTAAGTTCGTCATTGTTTGCACGGGCCGTCCGTTTGGGCACAGGAGCACCGCGAAGTTGCGGAGTATACCAACAGGGGGATCACATAAAATGTGCAGTGTTTTTGGCTGCAAATTTTGTTTGTGGGGTCGAGTCCGAGGTTCGCCGAAGGTACTAGATCTCTCAGGAGTCGAATCCTGAGGGAACAAAAGCGAAAGATCCCAAGCTGCCACGATCAGTGTAAGAACCAGGGGCACCCTTCAATATCAGCTTGGAAAAGCCTTGAGGAAAACCGCGAAAACCGGTGGGCAAAAAATAGCTGACGAAATGGAAATAAATCCTGCATCAGTTAATAGACAAAGACTGTTTCACCTGATACGCAACAGCGGAGACCGTCGCATACTGGTCAGTGAAAGCATTTACGATAAAACTGGACAGAGTATAGACAATAAACAGCAGTGCCTTATTCGCTGGGCAGAGTATCAAAGTGACTCGTTCAACTGGGTTGGTGCTAGTGCGGTTATTCCGGCGAATGCAGCGAACACTCCATGTTCGGTAACATGTAAGCATTCAGATTTAGAAGCACGAAGCTTTATTCAATCGCTAAAGCACATGAAAAAAGGAATATGATGACCTTCTATTCATTCTTTTCAAGCTGGAGACTGACCCTCTCAACGATTCGACTAGCAGTTTACTTCGGTACATTTGGTCGGAAGAGTGCATCTGCTTATTTTGAGATGGACAGTTCCGATCATCAAGAAGAGACGATGTAGCCCTAGTGGATTCACCACTTCGCAAAATAGTCGCGCAAATAAATAAACCTATTACGATCACTACACCTGCATATTTCGGATAGCGTGAGTGTCTACGACGGGCTTCTTTTTCTTTTGATTTTACTTCCTTTTATTGAACACGAAGATACAATTTTCAGGAAGGGGGAAGCGGCCAATCAATGGACTGCTATAGGGAAAATCAGGCGGTGGTGGTGGGGTTTGTACACACGTCTTCCGAGATGGTAATTTGGTAATGTTACCACCAGGCCCCCACCGCCAAGACAATCGTTGCAAACCAGCGGCGGTGCTCGTCGATGGTGTTGTAAACCAGATTACTATACATACCAACAAGCAAGTGCGTTTGATTGTAGCTAGAGGAGACTAAGAATTCCAATCGGATTTCAGAAAAATGTGCGATCGCACTTGATCAGATCACGCCCCCTGCATTGCGCAGGTAAAAGTACAACAGTGATTGCAGGAAGGAACAATTGAATCAGTCCAACATTCTGAAAGGAGATTACGATAGTTCTGGAGTACACGAAGGACGGTTCCGTTCTAATTTGCGCTGACTATAAGCTTATTACTAGAGTCTCGCCGTCCTAGACAGATGTCCAACGCCACTTGGGAAGGATTTAGCAGCTACATTCGGCTATTGCCAAAAGCCGCAGCTTTCTCCACCCTTCACTTTTCTACCCCCCACTTCTTGCGTTCATTTTTCAGACTCCTGATGAGCTGACATTTAAGGAATTTGCGCACTGTGCTGTCTACGCATCAATACACAAATCTGGCGTGGCAACTGGACGAGTAATGCTGAGGTTAGGCGCAGTGCTTCAGGTACTCGAGGTCCACCACTGGAGCAAGTAATCAACCGCCATACTTTACGTTGGTTGGAGCATGTGTTACGCATGTCACCAAATAGGTTGCCGGGGAGCACGATGTTTGCCAGGGAAGTAGTGGAAGGAAAAAGGCCAAAGATGGTCACATAGGTTGCGCTAGGCTCCCTGGATGGGGACCTCGAGACCGTGGTAACCGGTGGTTAGAGACACTGAGTGAAATAGCTGTGTCGTAAACTGGCGTTCATGCCTCTAAATTTCTTTGAAAACCTAGTCTACTGACATTGTCCATTTTCTCTTCGACTCTACTTTCAACTTTTCTGTCTTTTTCCCACTGCTTCATCCAAATGGGCAGCCAAAACCGGCGCACGAAAGTACATGGTTAGTGATTGTACAAACTGAACTGAAAATTCGAGGACCTGATTCATATATATAGACAAACGAGTGCTCTCAGATCTTAAAAATTACAACCAAAAGTGATCCTTTCAATACATGAATTCATCCTTTACATCTGATCCGGCAATTTTTCAAAGGATTGTTGATACTTCGCAGTCAACTCACAGTTACTGGTGAGTAGTGTCGTGGAATAATTGACAGTGATCAGAACTGACCATCCTTCACGCACCAGATCTTCTAGTCAACCATACACCCGGGAATTATTGATACTATGATCAGAGATATTCCCCTAACTTTTACGTATGTGGACAATATTCTTATTGGTACAAATGAAGAACATTTACAAAGATATTCAACGAATGAGGCGCTGTGATCCACTTCTATCCAAAGTACTCCTGGGATGACAAGTCGAGTAAGTTCCAACTATTCTTACAACGTAAAAATGAGTTTAATAAATATGTTCGTTGCATTCCTCACTAGAGTCCCATAGTCATATCCTGAAATGATAGTTTACAACTATCACGCGAACTGCATCACCCTCACCCTAATCTTGCTTCAGTAGAAGCCCCAGTAGCCAAAAACTGATCAAGTTACAGATATACAAAAATGCCAACATCTTGACCCTCCAGGTCCTACTTATCTACCTTGTCGGATAAGCCGTGGCAGATGATGCATGGAATATAATTTGGAAATGCAAACGGAACAGTTTCTTATCAAAGCCGACACTCAGAGTGGATGAAACTCCATGGGATTACTCTACCAACCCACAGGCTACGATTACCAAGAGGCGATCCCATTTGTAACATTCAGCATTTCATAACCATTTCGTACCGACAATCGAGCATCTTCACCTTGCAAAGAGATTCTGAGATTTCTCCGCGACAATAGAAGACAACACACACGGTCAACTCCTTACTATCCAGGTTCGAATGGCTCGGTGGAGCGAGTAGTACAGACTGCAAAAATAATTGTCAAATAGTCTGACTTGCCGAAGGTGGTTCAACGCGTAAGACCATAAAAAATCGAAGTAAACATTGATTTTTGATGGGAGCATGCGTGACAGAGTGCACATTGTTGGAAAAACGAACCAGGAAAAACATTTGAGGGACGAGGCAAATATGGGCCTCAAACATCTTGTCTCTTGTGTAAATGACAAGCAGTCGAGAGTGAACATGGTTACGGTATTGAGTTTCGAACGCACTGACCAACTACTTACTAAGTTTTTAATCACGGTCGAATGAATAGGGGCAGCGCAACGATTGTTCCGGTATGGGCCAATGGCTGTCAAGTCAGCTAAATTTTCACCGCGTATATGGACGGTAGAACAACGTACAAAGAGCATACTGAAGAGACAAACGAGGCACAAAATGCCTTGTAACCAGTCACAATGCAACCTGACGTCCCAGAATCTCTATTCAAGACGGAAGAAAGAGTCACTTTACATCCAATTATTTCAAAGCTAAGAGCACTTTGAAATGAGTGCACCAAAAAGGCAATGGCTGGCAGACTGCGTGAGATTGTGACACGTATTCATGATATTCTCCAGGTTGACACCCAATTGAATGAAAGATTGATGCAATGAACGTTTGGTGTACAAACGTGTTGTTGAAATACGTGCGGGATAAACAATTCAAGACTGAACATCAATTGTGTATTTTAATAGGCTTTTCGTTTGGGGCATATCGCGGACGCTTTGAGGGTTTATGTTCAATTCCAAGCCAAGGCTTTGTTTCAGGAGAGTAGGCCTGTGTGAACACATTTGTATAAACGATCGGGTCCTCATCATTGGGAATGTAGGTGGCCTTTGTTGGGTGGACCAAAGCAAAGCGCCACCTTTCGAATTCCTTTTCCGGAACCTCCAATTTTTTTCTGATTCTCTCACGCACCTCGCTGTAATGCTCACCATCGCGAATTCGTACAGTGAAAGGAATGCCGAAAGTATCTACTAAATCTTTCTCGAAATGGGAAACATATACAATTGTTTCATCCGATCTGAGATTAACTTCATCTACTGGAATTTCTTCAATCCGTAAAGTGCGAGCGAGAGGATTAGGGGCACAACTTTGTGGAAATGCTGTTGATTGAGGTATGGAGGAAAGTTTGGTTTCTGGTGGATATTCTTGCAAGATACGATTGGCTGAAGTTTCCAGAAGACGCAACAAACCGGACCCATCGGCAGGGAGAATCAGGTGGCGACTGGCTTCTTTAAGAAGATCGCTAACAAGTCCATTTTGAGGGACAGAAAGGAGAAGCTCTGCTTTGGGTGCTAATTTAGGGCTGATGAACACAGCACGAACTTGTCTCATGGTTTCTAACTCGTCAATTCTGATAGCAAGATGTGCGTAGTACACTCGCCTGGGTGGCGGTAAAGTAACTGCCCCAACAGGCGATCGGTTTACCGATTTAATGCCACAGTAGCGATTGATTGGCGCTGGAAAGCGATCCGGGTTTTGTGAATTTGGACCAGGTGCCGCTGTGCCGAGATTGCCTGCACCAGTTATCAAGTTACCACCCAAGGCCCCAGGATCAGAAGCCCATGAACTGTTTGTCGGGCTTACAGTAAACGGTAGGAAGAAATCTCTCATGGAGCCGTTGTGTGTGGATGGGATAGCAGCGCCTGGAGGCTCGTGTGCAAGGCCCTGAGATGCAGCTGCTGCCAACAGACTGTTCAAGTAGGCGGAGCAGTGACCGAAACCTGTTACGGAATTCAAAAAAAAATTGATCAGCTTTTCAAAACTAAATGAAGGAGATTTTGATTAAAAATATCTAGCGAAGGAAAACCAAATTCTGATGAGCAACCCAAAAGTAAATCCCACAAAGAAGTCGTAGAACGAGTTTGTTTGGACACGGAATTTACAACTTAATCTAAAATGGAGTTAGTGTCAATCAATGAGGCAAGAAAAGTAATTGAGAATAAAAGATATAACAAAGGAAATTAACCAGTTCTCTAAACGTATATATATGTGTGGGCTAAAGTGGGGGGCAAGGTAGTGTCCAACGGACTGGTTTTGTGCCACTGAGTACTATCTAGTTATTTACGTGTCAGACATGATTGCAGTCGCTACTATGAAAAGCCACTCTGTCATGCTTCTTGGATTATGGAGACGTAAGACATCACAATGTTAAGGTTTGGTCCATTTGCAGTTTGAGGGGGCACCAGAATAAAGCAGTGTTCTAATGGATTAAAGAATTCATTGGTGTATGAAGAATGTCGGGGTTATGATAAAATGGATCGAACGACGGCGAGTACACGATGATGTAAACAGGGTGAGCTGAAAACTCGAAGACTAACGAACACGGCAAGGACTAAGGAAAACATCCACTGTGCAACAAGATGTAGAGATATGACAAAAATGTACAACTATGGCGGCAACTGAAAAGTTCTTTAGCTCCAATTCTGACTATTTTATTACACACATTTATATAGTGAACAGCAAATGGGGCGAACCCCATAGTCACGAAGACTTGCTACTCCGTCGTGGAAGCCGGTAACCTAAGCACCGGGACTTGGAGTGGCGAACCACATAAGGCCCCTCTAGGTAAGGCGTGGTATTGAACCGGATGGCTGCAGGCGCAGGTTCTTACCAAATGCACCACTTAATTCAAAGTTACTGTAACTGGTTCAGTAGTATTCAGTCGCTCACTATTTCAAGTCTACACATAGGGTTCACATTAGCCACATTAAAGATGAGCCCTAGTCCCAGCGCGATTTGTAAATCACTAGTTTGTCGCGGTTGACTATATTCAACAGGCATTTTATTGTGCTTGATAAGTGAAAAATAGCGTAACCATTCCGATTCAATTAGATAAGGTGCGCAAAATACTCTTACCTGCGGCTTTTGCGGCAACTGCTTGCGGTGTAAGTGAAGGGTCAAGCAAAAAGTTTTGAGCGGTGGGACCTGCACCGTTATCCGCGGAACCGCCGCTATTGGCTCCAGCACCCAAATCAGATGAAACCGGTGAAGCCGTCATATCAGAGCCGACTATCCCTGATGCGGCTGTGCCAAGAGGAGACACCGATATAGGTGCAGTAACAGAACCAGGCACTCCACTAATGGCTTGTTGGGATCTGAAGAACTGCAGATTTTCCCTAGAGGTAGATAAATGAAGCGCAGCTACCGTCGCAAACTCCCAGTAGGTCAAGTCTGCTGCAATCCTCAACAAAATTCCGGGATCGGAAGGACGCATTTTGTCCACAAGAAGTATTTCCGTCTGTGGAACACAAAGGAAAGTTGAGAGTAGTGATAATACACAGACAATTTGGGACGAAAAGCCAGCACCGCATGAATTCTATAGAGACTTACTTGTTGTAGGTAATTGGAAAAATAGTTGAAAATAGACATTGTATCAGAATTTATTGGGTTCAATTGATAATGGGATGCTGGTGATAGTCTTTGCGGGGTACGTGTAGGGCTAATACCCAAATGAGTCGATTTGATGTTGACAGAATTGGGAATCGTAGCCATTCGATGAAGCAACAGAGCATCTGGGGTCGTGTTCACATATCTCGACGGGCATGTGTGGGTTGCACGGGGACGTACATCTTCTGCTGCAGGGACCACACCTGATGGAAGTCCGTTGACTGAGTCCGAATCAGAATTTTGAGGAGAAACACTGACCACAATGGCAGCATGCTCCTCATCAACGATGCTGGATAACGCTTCAGTTCCTATTTCCGTAGATATCAGAGAAATGGAGTTGCACGACGACGGTACCTAGAACAGCAAAGGTAGGATAATAATATTGATGATCGAGCATGCCGGGCAAATAACTGTTACAGACTAGTGAAAAAGCGGAATGCACCGAAATGCAATAAAAAAAACGTTAGAGTGGTACAGCACACATGTTTCCAGAATGTGCATTTATTATTACTCAACAGATTTTCGTAAAGGACAGAAATTTCCAGCACTTTTCTCGAGGAAAAGAAATATTATGCCCATAATTGCTATCTATATAAAAACAGTTTCCGTTAGGGTCTGGAGATCACTAACTGGTCTGAAAGACGGTAATATGAAAAATCAAATGTATGGAATAAATTTATTGCACTGTCCGTGTTAGACATGCAGAACATTGAAAAGCCATACAGCTCAAGCTCAGGAGGGCAAAAAATAAAAAAAAATAGCTGGAAAACTCAATTACTTGTGTTCTTCCGCATGGATTTTTAACGTATCGCTATCAGAATTCATTAAGGTTTAGATCTAGTAAAATTCGGCAGCATCCGTTAGATATCAACTAAGCTGACAAGACTGAAATAACCGCGAACCTGACGGACTTTGACCGATTGTTCTCTAAGGAAACGCAACGAATCTAGCTGAGACCTCCATGTAATTTTTAAATAATGCAAGCAAGTTACCACCTTACTGTTGGAGGGGAGCTCGCATTACTACCGTCCCCAAATCAGAGAATTTTAACTGGTAGCACGTACATTAATTTTTTTGTAAGTATTTGAAACTATTACACTTGTGTGAAGTCATAAATCGACTGTAAGCATACTTATAGGAACAAACGATTAGCATGAGGCCAGAGGGCTTATCTAACTTCATCCTCAGTCGAACGGAGTAGAAAACACTTTCCAATGTTTTTCCTCAGTACTGTATGGCCCTTGATTTTCGAGCTTTACTGACATCGGCATTACATGTTCAAGGATCACTTCGCTTCCGTTGACTACAATGTATATACGGTTCTTCTATTCATTTAGGAACGCTTCGTCATTTCCAAATTCGCAATTGCCGTAAGGCTTCAAACGAACTCCAGATTAAATGCCGATGTTACAACAATATTAAGTTTAGTCGATAGTCGATTTCGATTCCTGTTTTTGCCAATGTTCAACAGTCTTCCTGCTATCGTATATATATATATATATACTGTAAATCCGTCCATTGGAGTGTGTAAACATGGGTTGTAAAGCAAAATGAAGGGGAAAATTATGTTCAAACTCCCATTTACATAACGATCAATTTAAAGAGTTGACTGCCTACCTGAAAGTAAATAAGATGACCCTGATGCTCTCGCTTGAATAGTTTTGAAACTGCCAATTTGGGTTGAGAAATTTCTGAGATGCCGGTTTTAGCATCATCTTGAAAGAACAAGAGATCACAGCTATTGGGCAGACCAGCGCGTTCGCGTAACACAGGCTCTAAAGCACATAGTGGCTCGTCTCCTCTCAGCTCAACGTGACCACAAAAAGTCATTGACCATGATTTTGGATCAAAGAATTTCGCAAAAAACAGACGCGTGTCCGGACGAGCCAAATCGGAATCCATGCCCGGCGAATGTTCCGATCGATGTGGTGTTGGTATTTGTGTGATGATTGGAGCGGGGGATTGATATTGCACAAAGAAAATATGAATATCCTTCGGATTGTACTGCAATGGATTGTCCCCCAATTCCAGCAAATGCGTTGGGATATTTTTCCTCCTGTACAACAAACAATTTTTAGGTTAGGCATAATTAGTACAGTTCTCAACGTTGTCATCAAACGAAATACCAATTCTACACGAGAACTATAAAATGCAGGCTGATTTTTAACTACATGCACAAGCGATCAACGTACAGTGGCGGACGCATCAACCGAAATGCTGACCAGTAGACATTCTAGTAAATCACAACATGCCTACCTAAGCACAGAGTGTCTTTTGGGTTTGTGAACCCCAATGAACTGGATTAGGGGAGGTAGTTTATGTTCCTTAGATGATATAATTTGAGTTCAAATACTAAGAGACCTATTGGGTCTCCTGAACATTTGCAATGCGACTGACCGAAAGTACCAGTATCCTAGTTGGCTGAATCAAGGTGCAGTGAAAAGTGGATGAACGGAAATCATGGTCATTTAGACTTTATCTAAACACATTGGTAACTAAAAGTGATATCAGTGAGATTCCCAGACTGCTTACTACACTTTACTTTACAATGACCATGGCGACAGTCTGACACCTACCGCTTTGCCTTCTACCACCCAACGTGCCTTCGAACGAAAGATGTTTTTCTCACTTCAGCCAAGGGTTTATCCTTAACTCAGAATCAGTACATTGACCATTTTTATTACACCCACTTCTATGTGATGAATAGCAGAAGGGTGAACCTCAAAGCCACTTAGACCTGCCACTCAGTGATGGGAACGCCAACCTAAGCCAAGGGACTTAAAGTGGAGAACCACATAAGGCCTCGCTAGGTT